AATTTGTTACTTCTGGGACTAACATACAAACAATTCATGTTAATATTTCAACAGTTCTGTTGTTAGCACCAGATTTGAGGAACTCAAAACCCAAGAAAAGATCCTGCTGTCAAGCGTACTACTAATTATGTTTAGCTGATCTGTGAAGCTACTCAAGGTACCTAGAAAACAGAAAGCTTTTGTCTATGATATCCCAGCGTAGCAAGAGTCATAACTTCCTCAGAGGGATCAGAGTGAAAACTTGCCAATACATATAATAATGCACAACAGTCCATCAGGATTAATGGCATTCTGAAGCAAAGACATTACAGCTTGGAATGAGTAACTCGGAAATTTACTACACTTAACACTTTGATTGCAATCACATTATATGTGCTTCAAAAAATAAACCAGATGTGCAATCTCACCTCATTGTGGTACAATCTTAAGGAAAGATGAATTAAAATATAGTAATTTCAAAATGTGTCACAGTATGCTCATCAAAATACAGATGTCACCACTTTCAGAAGAACTTCTATGCATTTATCAATAAACCACACAATATCTTTCTTCGAAAATACCAGCGGTGAAATCCTGCACGCCAAGTCACTAACTATAGGCAATCACAGAGCCCTGCATATAAGTAGATTCTCATATCAGACAAAGCATAAAATAACCAACACTTTTTTTGTTGTTTTTTTTGAGGAGTGGCACTAAACTCAGATCAACTCTTCTCAAACCTGCATTTAGCCTTGAAATTTTGCTTCTACTGAAAATCTAAGGGAAGGCTTGTGTATCCAAAAGCATATTCAATTATACAGTCAGTCCACCAAGACAGACTGGACCTACTTACACCACTTGGCTTGCCTTCACTTTCTCTTAAGGCATAGTTGACTACCACACCACCTACTTGATAGGTATAACGCTGGCCTTTATACTGTGTGAAAGGCAGTGGGTTCAAGTTTGTCTGTACAGTTACAGGAAAACATCTGTAGCAGGATGATAAATACTACTAAAGAAGCTAAATTTATAAAACAATGATAAATGTCTTGGGGTGTGGAAAGCCTGCTGATCTGTCCTTTGTTCAAGTTTTCTTTCAGAAAACACTGTAGATAAAGAAAATACCAAAGCATAAAGCTTTTGCCATGTTTATAATGTAGCTGATAATCAGAACTTTATTTATAAAGATCCAGATCTCTGGGTTACAGAGACCAGAACAGATCAAATTCCAGTTACTCACAGTAAACAACTTAAGAAGATTCTTTTTCATATCCCAGGATTTGAAAGTGCCAGACATCTCCCTTCTTTGTTTCAAGTCTGCTATTTCATAATTTCGTTACTTGTCACTTAGCTATGGGTTGTGACCACATAGATTCAGGACGCACTCAAAGAGCAGAAACAAAGACAACAAGTAGGATTAGTACACACGAGGTTTTCACAATTCACTGTACCACTGTCAATCACAACAAACTGGGAGAATCACTTGGTTTTCTTTGTGCCCATGAAAAAATTCAAACGAAAGAAAAGAAGGTGTTTAGACTAGAATGAGGAACACCATCTGACCTCCTGAAGATAAGTGTTCCTTAAAGGCTTTCAAGACATGCATGGTTCTCTTCCAACCAGAAAATTGAAAGAAATATGCCTTTGCTTAGCTAAGGGGGGTGGGTGTGGGGTGGTGGACAGATTTTAAGGGGGGGGGAAAAAAAAAAAAAAAAAGAAAAGTCAAACAAGACTAGTCTCATGCCAAAGTCTCGAGTCATGCTTCTTACACTGATAAGATACTACATACACTGAGCAACATACTGATAGACTGGGTTAAAATCCAAGGGTCTCAATCTTGAAAGAAAGATCTGTACAATGAAGAGACAGGACAAGCTCCCATTGCGTGAAAACAGCAAATCTCTAAGACAGGTCCAAATCCTCCTCAATGGACTTCCATTTTTGACAGCCAGAACAACACTGTAAACCACTAAAGTGTTTTTTTTTGTTTGGTTGGTTTTTTTTAACCTTGCCTAAAAGGCACACAAGTGTTAGGCCCTGCAGCTCTACCTATCACTACAAAACTACCTTGAATGTAAAAGGTTACTTTCCACCAGAGGGTGCAAATCAATAGCTGTGCCTTCAGTCCCCTTTAGCAACAAAATCCTCCCTCATAATAGGTCCTTTAACCCAGTATCTCTTCCCACCCTTGCTCTCTAATATGAATCACAAGTCTTTAAACAAGGAAAATGAAAAACTCTTTAGGGGAAGTTCATCTTGAGTGCCTCCAATTACATCCACTTTCCTCACCTGTACACAGGAAAAAGAGTCTCTGATCTGCTGGACAGAGAAAATAAACTCACTCACTCAGCTTCAACCCTATTTATTCCTCAATATTGTCACTTGTAGGATATGGAATACGGAGCTCAGATTCTGCAAAAGGTATTTTTCCTCTAGAGTGACCCACTAGAGGGATCACACACACACACAAAAAAAAAAGGTAAAAAATACAACATTATGTTTTCTACTTCATCCTTAGGAAGACCCTTAGGAGTTTATTTGTAAGCCTCAATTAACGTTTCCTAGTCACTGATCCAATTAAGGAATTATGAATGAAAGTGGTGAGCGAGCGGGAAGGGAAAGGGACATAATGTTATTGACCTTGTAAACACCTATAACGTTTCTAAACCAAATTTGAGACTACATCAAGTCAACTTCCCCAAGAATCTCTCTCCCATTCTAAAAATCTGTTGGCTAAAGTCTAGGGAAATGTATCAGCTGTTGCCTTTGGAGTAAGTTTTTCTTTCCATTTAAATATGTTAAAATACTGATGTCTTGGTAATACCTCCAGACAGCACCTGAAGTGAGCATAAGATTCTCTTCAAGAACAGAATAGTGTACTAGAATTCCATGCTAGAGTTGTACTGCAAAAATGCAGCCAAGTAGCTGCTTCCAGTTGTTTCTGTTTCCATTGGGAAAGATAACATGCATATTTTATCACCCTACATGTAACTGCTAGCACATGGATATATATAGGTATTGCTGCCAATCGTTTCCTACTACAATATGGCATAAATCAAAAGGCACTTACCTTCTGCTGTGATGATACTGGTGGTGTGGTCATCAAAGGTTTAAGCGGAACAGTGTTAGTCTGAGGCGTACTTATTCTTGGAGATACATACGATCTTGGCGATGAGGCATCAGATGTCAAAGACATTGGAGACTGATTAGATGGCTGAGCTGTCAAGGAAAAAAAAAAGATTATTTTTAATAAAACCATATCCTATCTTAAACGTGAATTAGATCTTCTTTTGGTACTTTGGAGTATGCTGTATTAGATAATATACAAACATATTCACCTTGAGGCAGTTGGGGGAGTGAACAACTGGAACAACCAAATGTTCAATAATAATCCTAACTAAAGAATTGCATTTTCCCCAAACCCTCCACTTCTAAAACTTGAGGGGAATGGAAAAGAGAAGAAGCTATTATGCAACCGTTTTTACACATGAAGAGACTAAATTAGTTTCATTTGTGATTTCCATTTTAGAGCGCTCAACTTAACTGAAAGAATGAACAAACATTTTATCTAGAAACCTATTCATCCAATTCTAGGCATCTACCAACAGTCCCCTGCCCATGTTTTAATTACTGGTTAAAAATTAGCAGTAGCATAATACTGCCTACCTACTCAATAACACGACTGCATTTATTGTTTTGGTTTAAGTTTCTAGCTTTATTAAGTTACAAACCAGAACGTATTGAAGGTACCTAAAGGAATATCTTGCCTGGGAGCTGAAAAATACTATTTACAGAAGACTACAAAAAACCTCCACCAGATAAATTTTCTTTTAAGAATCTAAGGCCTCCCCCAAGAGTCACAGTTGCACAGTATTACAAGAAGGGTGTTCAACCAAGGAAGAGGTGTGTTTTATATTGAACATTAAAAAATGTCTAATTAAGATTTAGAATAAATTGAGAGGGTCTTGCACATATTTCACATTAGTCATATACAGTTAGTTCACATACAAATAAAACCCTGCAAGGCAAGACAGAGAAGCACATTTACTTAGTTGCATGTTAGCTTCCTGCTCCCCAAGTAACAATTTCTTATCCTGTCTTTGGGAAAAGAAGTCATTCAACATCCTTCACACCAGATGGCCAAAGATACGACAAGAGACAGCTTCTACAAGTTTCAATTGTATCAGCCTTTATAAAATGCACAATAACAATTTTACATAAGTGAAAAGAAGACTCTGAATACCTTGCGTAGACAGTTGTGCAGCTTGAGAAATTAGGGAAGTGATATTGAAAGCAGATGGTCCAGCAGTAAGAATTTTATGGAGTATAGACTGCAGAGAGGCTTGTGTCACAGCTGCTGTTAGAACTAAAAACAAACATTCTGTTTTACTGACAATTCTAGAACATCACTTTAAACTGTTCAAACTGGCTAAATACATTTAAGCCATATTTTCTTTCTGATTTTGTTCCTGTGTCCACAATAGACCAAAAAGCCACCTGAACTATTTTTCAATGACTTGAATTCAATTCACAAATGCTTGGCATGTCTAACGAAGTCCTTTATTTAGTAGTTTTATCTTTGAGACATACGCTTAAAAAAATTCTATCAGAAAATAACTTTAACTCTTCAGCTTGACCTTATGAATCAATAATAATTCTTGTAAACATAAAGAGAACATTTGTTCAATTTGTTATTTTAGTAAGCCGAATGTGTGACCTTTTTTTAAACTACAATAATTAAAAAAAAAAAAAGGCAAAAAAGCGGTATCACTTTAACTCACTAAAAGAGATGGGGGGGAGGGGTGGGGGAGAAGACTTCCTGTTCAAGGAAAAAGAAAAGATCTTCAAGTTAAAAATCCAGACAGTGTTTCCTCTTAATAAAAAAAAAAAATTCCAAACAAAAAACCCCCTAACCTTATGTGTTCTATGTTTAGCTGTCCCATTCCCCCCTCCTCCAGTAAAAAATTAATAATTTTCAACCAACTGTTTTAAAACTGCACTACACAGGAAGAGCATCTTACAGTATGAGCTGATGAGACCCAGTTTCTGAACTAATTTTTCCAAAAAGGTCTACAGGCTCTGTGGGATATTTCCTGAACATACACTACCCATGCACAAATTTGAAAAAACTGACTCACCAGCACAAACACAGAATAACTCTGCATCACGTGCGCAGTAAGCGCAGTCCTGCTGCGCACAGTGAGGTCACAATGCTCACGTGTCTCTGCCAGCCAGGCTCTCGTGCCATCAGAACAATTATAAACACTCTTGTTCCAAGACAGAACTGCTGCTCAGGTATGGCAAGAGAAGATGACTAGGAATTTTAATTGGCAGCTTTCTAATAAAACACAGTTGGAGTCTTGATTGGACTTTTCATTTTGTAGCACAATGAACCAGGAGACTCCTACTTTTTTAGCCCAACCTAGTGCACTACAGTCTTAAAAGCTTCTCCCTGCACAGGATAAAACCCCCAATAACCTACTCACCTATTAGTACCGAATGAAGCCATAATATTTGCTGATTAAAAGGAAGTCAGTTGACAGCTTTTCCTTATAAACAACCCTAACATACATAACAGTAAAATTTTACTGTTATTTTGACTTTCACAGTTTGCAGTTCTTAAAAGTTAAAGATACCAAACTCTGAGCATTACACGTAAATGTTTTGTTTCCTATTTAAATCGGTGATCAGTGTGCAAGAAGTTCAAAGAAGCAAACAAAAAAATCCCACACCACTTTCTTCATCAGTGACCTACCATATGCAGACACCACATTAGATAAAACTCCATTCAAAAATGCATCAACTCTACCCTTTCTTGCAGCAAAAGGCATTATAGCTAGTCCTAAACTTTCTTCTAATAAACTAGGCCAATGTGACAAAAACCAAAGGAATATACTGATTACATGCACAAAATTAAACTTGCTAGCAAAATTACTAATACACAGTCTTTGTGCAGGGAAGCTAACATGTTCTGCTAAAGAAGAATAGTGGATAGGCAATAAGATTCAAGAATCCCTAGAAGTTTCAGTATTTGCAAACACATATTATTAGAATAGCAGCACAAACTACAGAAAACAAGAACATTGCATGAAACAAGAGAACAAAATGCTCTAACTAAATTTTGTGCAACAGATGAATGCTGATACAGCGATTAAGTCACCAGTCTCAATTAGACCATACATGTACATCAGCATTTATTAGCTTAACAACCTTTAACATTACTTGGCTAAATTAAAAATGTTTCACAGAACCCCCCCCCCCACTCCCCCCATAAAAACCAACAACACCACACACACACAAAAAAAATAATCAAACAAAAACCCACAAACAATCCCCACTTTATCTAGGGATTCATTTATTCACTTTTCATTTAAAGTAAGGCTTGCATTTACCACAGCTTAGTATCCAATAATATACTAATGCGTGTAACTAAGAGATTACATCAACTTTAAAGAATCCTTACCTTCATTGATTTTGGATATATCTACACTAGAATTATTAAGCTGCAGGGTGGCTTGCAGAGCAGGCAGCAGCTGTCGAAGGAGATTTGGGTCCTGAAGTAACGGGGGAATTGGTGATTGTGGGACAGGTGAGACAGGAACTGTAGGAGCAGATGAAGCAGGCGCAGAAGTTGGATTCAGTCCAGAAGCAGAAGATGTAGAAGGAGTTGTGCAAGAATGGGATACAGACTTGTCCACAGATGCAGACTCTGAACAGAAGACAGACAGTAATTTTCATTTTCCCCAATAAAACCTGACAACTTCTAACTAGTACAATATTCATATGAAATTCAGAAGATCAAATGCTTAACTATGATTATAAGAAGTCCCCCCATGAATGTAACAAAAACTGAAAATGTTTGATATCTAGTGTAATTTATGCTATCGAACCTAATATTTCTTAGGAAGACACACACACACAAAAAAAAACTTTTCCACTTCAAGATACTGGACTGAAAGCTGCCATTATTACAAATGGGAATTTTTCCCCTCTAATTTTTAGGACAAATGTGGGCCAAAAAATCCTTACTGATTTTTTCTTTTACTGTGCATATACCCATATTCTATGTTTTACTCATGACTCCAGTCTTTCTTTGGAAAATATACTATGAACCTTATAGCCCATGGACTTTATAGGTCAATATGTCAAATCTGAGAGGAGGGTATAAGCCACATTTTATTCACTCAGATACTAGACTACAGGAAGCTACAAAATAAAGATGAATGCTATTACACACAGTCCAGATACATTGCTTAGGATTCACAGACAGGATAATGAGCTGTACTAGAAATATAAAACAAGAGCTGTTATCCCCACAGCAGAGTGGAAAAACATCTAAAAGTGTATCTGCCCATAATTAATTTCAAATTTATCAGCTTCTCCTGAAGCATCAGAACCTATATCCTTTTTTTTATTAATCTCATTTTAGTGAATATCAACATTTATTATCCACAGAAATGCTTAGTACTTAAATTCAATTATACTGTATGGCAATTTGTTCTAATTAATGTGAGTTATTTAATTAATTTTAAATTTGACTTCCAGTTAACACAGAATTTTCTCCTCCATTCCAGTAGTGTGAGAAATTCCTGCACTTAAAGTATTTTCATTTACTACAGGTCTACCATCAGTCACTTCAAATAGCCTTCCTTTAAGAAGCCTGGACCACTATATTTCAATTTTAGCTTCCTCTTCTCTCATCTCCATTAAACCCATCAGAGACCCTCTGCCCTCAAATTCAGTCAAGACTAATGCCTCAATAGTACCGAACAGGTTGGATGAAGAGTGGAAAGATGGATATGGATCCAGGATGCTTCCCCATAATATTGAATACCTGGATTTTAAACCCACCTCAAACTGGGCAGAGAATGTTAACCTGGATATTCTACATTTCAGGGAAAAATCCAAATGAAAGCTAAAATGATTGGCTGACAAATTCTTTTTCTCTAAAGGTGTGTTTGGTTTTGGGGTTGGGTTTTTTTTTTGGAGAGATGGTCAAGGTAAGAAGAGGCTGACTTTTAGTAAAGAAGAAAAATGAAAAGTTCTTGTTTTCTTTTACTACATAAGAATAAAATGTTACAAAATTTCTAAAAGCTTTTGTTTTCTGTCAGTCTTAATTGCAACTTTTGAAACTAACTGGGAGAAGAACACTAATAAAAATTAAAAAAATGACTGAACTGAGTATTAATACGTAAATCAAATGAGACTAGATATCTCAGTGAAAAGAAAGGGGGCTTCTGCTTCCATGCAGTTACAGTAGAAATAGTTCATAATAGGTCGTAAATACTCAAGAAAAACCAACTCTCCCAGTCAAAGTAGCTGAGAAATCTAAACAAGAAAACAAACCAAGCCACTGAAGAATCCAAATTTGACAGCTTGCAATGATGCAGCAGGCAGGGCACACAGACATATTTTGATGTTTCAGGCAAACTTCTAAAAAAGAGGCGGCCCAGTTACAAGCTCCTCAGGACAAGGGTTGGTTTTCAATGTATCTGTAAAGGGACCTGGTCATTTGGCCAGGAGCTTTCATAAAAAGAATTTACAAAGGGACAACAAGTGCTACAAAGACTGAACATGAAAAAACACAGTTACAAAATTTTTATGTGGTTTTCAGTAACATGTGACTAGGACAGCTGATTAGGTATTAGCTCTCCTTAAAACAGTAAGTCATTAGTAAAAGTCCTTGTTATAGAAGTATTACATACAAAATCTTAAGTTATGGTGTTCAAAGTAAACTTAAGACAACTGCAAGTCAAGACACATCAAGCAAACAAGAATCTTATCATACTAAACAAAAACATGTAAAGTTTAAACTGAACTTAGATCTGTCACAGTCCAAATAAGGACAACGAGATACACTAGCAGACAAAAGCAAGGGAATTAAGCACAATGGGGCATGTTAGTACTTATATGTATAAGTGTCCTATCCTAGTTTAGAGAATCTTACAAAAAAACCCAAACAAACGAACAAACCAATAAAACACCCTAATTCAAAAATGAACAAAACAAAACAAAAAAATACTAACCAACTGCCAGCACTAATTTCAAAACATACTTGACACAGTTAGGCTTGTCTTCACAGTTAGATTGAGTTATTTTAAGTAAAGAAGAAACTCACTACAATATTATTAATTCACATAAGCAATACCTGAGCTTCACCTGAGCTACACCACTATACCAAACAGCTGGAGTTATTTTTCACCTATGTTGCAGTTTTGAGCACAAAATAAACTGAATCAAAGGCAAACTCATGCTAACAATGCAGTGAAGACAAACCTTAAGACCAGTTCTGGGTATTCACTAATTTCTTGAATAAAAGGACTCACAGTATGTCATACAAAACCATTGAATTCCAAGAGGTCTGTAAAAAGTTTGGGTGAGTTTCTCTGCTATAAAAATGCGAACTGAATTGAATCATCCCAACACAGTCCAGTTATTTCTTTTACACAATATGGAGACACTATTCTGTAGCTGTATTGTTGCAGGTATATTTAAGTATGTGTTAAAATATACCCGTGAAAGATATTTTTTGTACAATCACCCAGATTAAACACCTAAAGAAAATTATATGAAAAAAGGATGGCGTCTAACGCTAGCATTCCGATCTTTTGAGATGGTTAACATTACAAAACCAACAACAGTTCAAATGTTACAAAAGAATACCTCTCTATGATTATGACTATCTACATGTACATCATATTATAATTTATTTAACACCATAGAGGATGTAGAGTACAATGAATGCTCACAGCATCACTGCACTTCACAAATTAAGTAATTTCAGTTATTCATAGTGAAATAAAGGGTATAAAACTGTTTCCGCTAAAAAAAAAAGTAAACTTTTTTGTGGAAACACAACTATTTCTTGTTTATATTAAGTAGTCTAAACAGATATTTTCTTCTCTACAAAGCGAAATTCCTTTGTGACAAAAACAAACATGCTAAAAAATATAGGCTACAGATTAGTTCCGTATAATCACAACTTTCATTACCTTGTTTTAAACCAACCTATCTTACACTCTGTGGCTTCCAGACTGAATGCTTGATTTCACAGAAATAAATCCAAGAAATACTGCTGATAAAACAAAGCCTCTAAATATTTACACATCCATTTTTCTATAAAATAATTACAAAGGTTTAAAAATGGTTTCATTTATGATGCTATACAGAGCTTGTGAGTTTTGCCCTTCAAGTTACCACAACTAGTCAAAATCCCTCAAGATGAAATATTTGTTTCACAAAAATCCTCAGTATCACTCACTGGAGTGTGTGCGTTTCCCTTGCTTTTTCCACAAATAGAAGCAGAAACTTCTCACTCCCTCCTTTTCCTCTCTAATGCACCCTTTCTGATCTGCTTTGACAGACTGTTTCATTGTATGTTTTGCCACACAGTTGAGTTTACTTGTCAACATTTAAACACTATTTCCTAGTTTCTAAAACATTTACTAGGATTTTAAAAAAATGCTTAGTTAGAATTATACCGTCCTGTAATTCTTAAATGCATGTGAAGCCTTAATTGTCAGGAAACACAGTCAAAATGAACACATCATACTGAGAAAAGTTAAATATCTTTACAAATTAAGTCCTTTAGTTTTACAACTCGGATACACTGGTCTCCACACCTGTGTCAACACAAGTTCATATTCATTAACAAGCTATGTACAGTATTATCGCAAAATAAGGCTTTGGATTACACGGCAGTCATTCATAAACCTAATTTGAACCATTAATACATCAATCAGACTAATCTTGAACCTATAATTGGCATTTTACCAACAGAAAATGCAAATTTGTTCTGTGTCTTATATTAAAAAAAAATTCTTAAAAGAAAATATTACCTATGCTGCAAGGCCTGTAAAAGTGATAGATGAAGACTGAAGTCGCCTGCTATCGGACAGGGCAACTCTGCAGCCTCTTCACTGTCAACACCAATTTCCATACAAATGCTATGCAAATGACTCCTCAACCTCACATAAAGTTTCAGCTATTATCACAAAAAGTCCCAAGGAAAATTTCTTAAATAATAATTTCAAAAAAATAAATTAACACCAAAAGCAGAACATAGCCCAGTGCAATCTTCTGAACTGTTGAAAACTTTGTTAATTAAAATTTACATTTTAGCTCTTCCTCTGAATAAATAAAAAATAAGACTATTTCTTAAAGAGAAGTGTGACCAGCAGGTTGAGGGAGGGGATTCTCCCCCTCTACTCTGCTCTGGTGAGACCCCCCCTGCAGTACTGCCTTCAGCTCTGGGGCCCCCAACACAAGAAGGACATGGACCTGTTGGAGCGAGTCTAGAGGGGAGGGCCATGAAGATGGTCAGATGGCTGGAGCACCTCTCCTCTGAAGACAGGCTGAGAGAGTTGGGGTTGTTCAGCCTGGAGAAGAAAAGGCTCTGGGGAGACCTTAGAGCAGCCTTCCAGTACCTAAAAGGGGCCTAAAAGAAAGCTGGGGAGGGATTTTTCACAAGGGCCTGTAGTGACAGGACAAGGGAGAATGACTTTAAACTGGAAGAGGGTAGATTTAGATTAGGTATTAGGAAGAAATTCTTCACCGTGAGGGTGGTGAGGCACTGGAACAGGTTGCCCAAAGAAGCTGTGGATGTCCCATCCCTGGAATTGTGCAAGGTCAGGTTGGATGGGGCTTTGAGCAACCTGGTCTAGTGGAAGGTGTCGCTGCCCGTGGCAGGGGGGCTGGAACTAGATGATC